CCCGGCCCCTGTAGCCTCGGCCTGCTGGGCTCCGGCGATCCTTCCGCCTCAGCCTTCCAAGTAGCTGGAACTACAGGCGCACGCTACCGCACCTGGCTCGTTTTTGATTTATTGTGAAGATGAGGTCTCACCAAGTTGCCCAGGTGGCTCTTGAACCCGCGGGCTCAGGCGATCCACTCACCTCAGCCTCCCAAAGGCGCGGGAGTAATTACAGGCTGAGCCACCAAGCCCGGCTTAAAAATGTATATTTCTATAAAAGGGTTATTGCAACTTGATAGGATGAAACAGACTAATCAAGTCTCTAGATATACATCTTTGCTGACTAATTGGGCAAGTTATTCATTGGGAAATGGAAACCTGAAGACATCTGTGAAGTGGGGATAAAACCTCCCTCTGTGCTGTGGGATTCAATGAAATGAAGTGTATGGAGCAGTCCACTTGTTAATGCTTAATGGTCGGTACATACAAATTTTTTTTTTTTGAGGCGGAGTCTCACTCTTGCCCAGGCTGGAGTGCAGTGGCATGCGTATGGCCACCGCATCCTCCACCCGCGGGACTCAGGTGATCTTTCCGCCTCAGCCTTCTAGGTAGCTGGAACTACAGGCGTGTGCCACCATGTCTGGCTAATTTTTTGATTTATTATAGAGACGAGGTCTCACCAAGTTACCCAGGCTGGTCTCGAACCCCTGAGCTCAGGCAATCCTCTCGCCTCGGCCTCCCAAAGTGCTGGGATTACAGGCTTGAACCACCGCACCTGGGCTTAGGCAATGTTGAGAGGGCCGCTCATTGTGTGTATTAGATCCATGCTATTTCCTTTCAGTCATAACAGTTCGTTACCAAAAATGTGTCACGATTCTAGTTTCAAGTAACAATTGACAAGAAATTTAACATTTAAAAAAAGTATTTATCAATTTCAAAGTTAATCTAGTTGATCTATGTCTATATACACTAAATACTTTTATCATAGTTAAGCAGAAGTGAAGTTTGATTATTTATTTTTGAGTTTGAGGCTCACTCTGTCTCCCAGGCTGGAGTGTAGTGGCACGCTCATGACCACTGCAGCCTTGACCTGATGGGCTCAGGTTATCCTTCTGCTTCAGGCTCCAAGGAGCTGGAACCACAGGTGCACACCACCATGCCCAGCTGATTTTTTAAATTTATTGTAGAGATGAGGTCTCACCAAATTGCCCAGACTGGTCTCAAACTGGTGGGCTCAGGCAATCCTCTCGCCTCTGCCTCCCAAAGTGTTGGAATTACAGGTGTGAGCTACCAAGTCTAGTTTAAGTTTGATTATTAAAATGAGAATCGTGCAGGGCCTGAGGACCTGCATTTCAGCGTTTCCTTGTGAGACTTCCACATGCTGGTTGATGTGCGGTTTAGCAGCTATTAAGGATGTGTTTACACTGCCAGGGCTGTTCCAGGAGCTTCACATGCATGAATTCGTCTTTACAGCTCTTGGGAGGCTGGCACTAGTGTCTCCATTTTACAAATGAGAAAACTGAGCCTAGTGACATAACTAGCCAGGAATGGAGGAGCCAGATTTCAACACGAGCAGCTGACCTCAGACTTTACTCTCCTGCCTTTATATAAACAGCTTCCCACTCAGGTGGCATGACAGTGAGTTTGGAGGGTAAGTGAAGTCAATTTGGAGTGGTGAGAGCTGAGAGGAAGACTTTGGATGTTAGGATTTAACTTGTTAGAACTAAATGTGAGGATGTGTGGTGGCTCACGCCTGTAATCCCAGCAATTGTGGAGGCTGAGGCTAGGGATTGCTTGAGGCCAGGAGTTCGACACCAGCCTGGGCAACAGAGTGAGACCTCATCTCTA